GAAACAAGAGAAAACCACGAGCGTTAAGACAAAGGTAGGCAAGAACATGATCAGCGGAACTTTAGAAACAAAATTAAAGCATGAGCCTGAACATATATAGCAAAAAGTAAGTCAACAACCTAGGCTAGCATGTGAACACAGAATGTAAAAGAATCTCTGTAGAAATCCGGTAAGAAACAAGAGAACAGCCTCGAACATAATAGGAAATAAAACAACGAGCATAAACACACACAAGGGAGAGTAAAAGAATCAGAAAACATTTTAGGAGCCATTTTCAGAAAACCCTAAAATTGATTTGAACAGTTTTGAAAAAGGAAATTTGGGGAAAAACTCTAAAATGTTACCAACAGCGTAGATCTAGCACAGATCTAAAAGAATAAACGAAAAGGAACCTCGAATAGGCTAGGGCTTCTGAGAACCCTAAAGGACGAGAAAGGCTTGGAAGTCACGAGAACGGATCTGAGTTGATAAGGTCGAATCCAGGCTCAAGAGGCCAAGATACGCCGGAGCAAGGCCGAAAACGGCCAAAGAATCTCGAATCGACCAAGGTCTGGATGAAGAACCTTGAGGTCTAGCCTCGAATCTTCAGTGAGTAGGCGTGTGGGAGCAGTAGGTGGTGAGTAGAGGTTGTCCATGGTTAGATTAGCCATGGATTCCAGCGGTTTGAGATCGAAGAGGGGGTAGGCGGCTATTAGGGTTTCAGGTGGGTGAGAGCGTTTGAGAGAGTCAAGGGATTAGAGGCGGCGGTCTTTGAGAAAATGGGGAGGGTTTGGGGGTCGTTTAGAATTAAAAATGGTAAGGGGGAGCCTGGGCCGTTGATCAAAATGATCAACGGCTCAGATTAAAAGGGACACGGGCCGGTTCGGGTGATTGGGTGTTGGGTCGGGTGGATTAGGAAATTGGGTTAGGGAATTGGGTTCAATTTGGGGCTGAGATTGGGGCCCAATTCCGGTTAAAATTGAAATGCAAAAAGGGCTAACTTTTAAATAGCCACTTTTCCCTTGTTTAATTTATAAAAAATAGCAAAATAATTTCTGGAAGTAAATCAAACATGCTAAAATGATTAATAATACATAATTATCAAATTAAAAGATACTGGGGTCAATTTTATAAATATAATTAGAATTAAATCTTAAAAGAGGCTAATATTGCAATTATGTGCAATTTAATTTTAAAAAATACTAAATAAATTTGTAAAAAATATGCAAAAATCATGCTATCCATATTTAGGTGTAAATATGAGAATAAAAAATAGGTTTTCCACCAAAATGATAACTTTAGGAATAATTATTGGATTTTATGGTATAAAAATAGGCAATAAATTGGTTTTTAAAAATCATTAAAAATTTGGTAAAGTACCAAAACTCTTGTGTGTGCTCATATATGCACATATATGTTATTTTGAAAGTATTTTGGGTATCAAAATATTTAGGGAATAATTGGGTATCAACAATGTACAGCGGAAAATAAAGGCAAAACTTTACAATTAAAGATAGGAAGGGGGAAGCATGCTGCGGGGAATAACAAGTAACAATAGAAACTAACAGTTAAATGTAAAGAACACCATAACTCAGTTATCAATAGAAATCAGGAAAATCAAAGACAAGTGCACGGCATCACCCTTCGTGCTTTTACTCTCGTCCTCACCAAAAATCAATAAAATCGGCACGGCATCACCCTTCGTGCTTTTACTCTCGTCCTCACCAAAAATCAATAAAATCGGCATGGCATCACCCTTCGTGCTTTTACTCTCGTCCTCACCAAAAATCAATATAATCGGCACGGCAGCACCCTTCGTGCTTTTATCTCACATAATCATGGCACGAAATGATCCTTCGTGCATTATCACTCATATAAAGGCACGGAATTGTACATCGTGCGGCACGGCATCACCCTTCGTGCTTTAACACTCTCTCACAAATATCATGCACGGCATCACCCTTGGTGCTTTAACACTCTTCCTCACCCAAACAACAATCACAAAGCAATAAGGGCAAGGGAATCAATAGAATCACCATAAAATCCCAGCAAGGGAACAATAGTATGACAATCATATCCCGGCAAGGGAAACAATATCAAAAGCAATAACATCCCAGCAAGGGAGATAACATTAAAAGTAACAACATCCCGGCAAGGGAGACAATATCATAAACCTCTTCTCTTTTCCCCATTTACTTCACAACTCGAGCCAATGCTCTATAACGTTCAATTGCCAATAATACTTCCACAAATCATTTTATAATTTGAGCCAACGCTCTTCAAGGTTCAATTACCAATATTACTTCCACAAACCTCGTTCAACAATAGAAATCAACCCATAAGGCATGAACAATACAAAACGGAGTCACATTAATCGTAGTATAAGACTCACGGGCATGCTTGACACCAACATGTAGATACTCGTCACCATGCCTATACGTCGTACTCAACATCTAACACATAGCAAATAAGACACGACTCCTAATCCCTCAAGCTAAGGTTAGACCAAACACTTACCTCGAGGCCACGAACACAATTCAAGCCTCAACTACCGCCTTTACCTCTTAATTCCACCACCAATTCGCTTGCATCTAGCCACAAGTTACTTAACTATATCAATAAATGCTAAATGAATCAATCCTAATGCATGAAAATAGGTTTTCTAAAGTTTTTCCCAAAAAGTCAAAAATCGACCCCGGCCCACATAGTCAAAACCAGAGGTTCGAACCAAAACCCGATTACCCATTCACTCACGAACTCAAGTATATAATTTGTTTTGAAATCGGACCTCAAATCGAGGTCCAAATCCCCAAAATTCGAAAATCCTAAGTTCTACCAAAAACACCCAATTTTCCCCATGAAAACCCTTGAATATGAGTTGAAATCATGTAAAAAAATGGATTAGATTGGAAGAAATGAGTTAGAATTGACTTACAAATGATTTGGAAGAGTAGTTGTCTTTGAAAAATCGCCCAAAGGTGTTTAGGTTTTGAAAAGGTTGTAAAAATGGCTGAAAATGCGTCTAAGTCTCAATTAACTGGTCTCTGATGTCGCAATTGCGACCAGGGTTCGCAACTGCGAACCCCTCAGAAACTGATGACTTCGCAAATGCGAAGATTTTTTCGCATTTGCGACACTGAAGGAATCCGGTCCCCTTCGCATTTGCGAGGGACCCTTCGCATTTGCGATATCGCATTTGCGATAAATACGTCGCATTTGCGACCAAGGCAGCCCAGGCCATCTTCGCATTTGCGGGCTCGCATTTGCGAGCCTGCAGACCTGCAACACACCAGCAATTTCCTAAGTCTAAATTTCACTCTGTGGCCTATCCAAAACTCACCCGAGCCCTCGGGGCTCCAAACCAAACATGCACGCAAGTCTAAAAACATCAGCGGACTTGCCCGTACGGTCAAATCATCAAAATAACATCAATAATTATGAATTTAGCATCAAAATCAAAGAAAAATCTCATGAACTCTTAAGTTCAAATTTTTAACAACCGAAGGTCCGATTCACATCATTTCAAGTCCGTTTCTTACCAAATTTTACAGGCTCAACTTAAATACCATATAAGACCTGTACCGGGCTCCGGAACCAAAATACGGGCCCGATACCATCGAATTCAATTACATTCAAATTTCCAAAAACTCTAAGAATTTCAATTAAACAATTTTCTTCAAAAATTCATTTCTCGGGCTTGGGACCTCGGAATTCGGTTATGGGCATACGCCCAAGTCCCATATTTTCCTACGGACTCTCTGGGACCGTCAAATCATGGGTCCGGGTCCGTTTACCAAAAATGTTGACCGGAGTCAACCTAAATTCATTTTAAAAGCAAAATTCATCATTTTTTTCATAGATTTTCACATAATGGCTTTCCAGATACATGCCCGGACTGCGCACGCAATTCTAGGTGAGACAAAAAAAAGGTTTTAAGGCCTTGGAACGCAGAATTTATTTCTAAAACAAGTGATGACCTTTTGGGTCATCACAGCTTGGTTCGTTCATGGAAAATTGGATTTTCTGCAATTTGAATGGTTTCCTTGTTGTCACAAAACAACTGAACTGGTTTAGAAATTGGCATCTTCAATTCTTCTAGGAGTCCTGATAACCAGTCAACTTCTGTTGTCACTGCTGCTATGCTTCTATATTCTGCTTCTGCTGAACTTCTATTAACCGTTTGCTGCTTTTTTGATTTCCACGAGATTAAGGAGCTCCCTAACTTTACAATATAACCTGTCACTGATCTCCTAGTATTGGGACAGGCTGCCCAATCTGCATCACAGTAGGCAGTCAATGTGTCAACTGGCTTTGCCTGCAGAAGAACTCCCAAACCTGGTGCTCCTTTGAAATCCTTGATCTTACTTCAAATTTCCCGCTCTGATACCATGACAAAATCTCAGTAGAGATCTACACTAAATCGACATTGCATGTGATTGAGAAGAAGAAGAAAATGAGTTGAAGGAGAGAATCAGCTAAGAAGAGGAAGAAGTCTGTTATTTCCACTGTAGAGGTCGGTGCAGTGTAACTGCCTTTAATACAAGACCTCTCACACAAGTCACGTGTGTGATGAGGGTAAAAAGACTAAAATACCCCAACTATTTAACTAGTATTACTACTGATTATTCAAAACGACCGAACCGTACCTCGACTTTTGCCTCCGCCCCTGATATCAGCAACTAAGTAGAATAATCTCCACTATGAACAGGCTGTTGCTCAAGATGTGTTTATAACTTTTAACAAGAAAAGAAAAACTTAGAAAATTTAGCTGCATATATTGAAAGTATCTAAAACTATTCTCCTTGTTCTTATATGCAAAATCGGCCGAATATACCCCTTTATGCATAATATCCAACCATAAGCTTTTCATATATGATTTAATAATATTACGGAATTCGCAATTGAATTATGTTGTAATATTCTCCTTGTCTTTTTCTGTCAATCATTCTATTAATAACCCCCTCCCACCATTATGCCTTAGCAGAAAATAGGAGTTTCCAAAAATAGTACCCTACCTAACTATGGCTAAAGATCAATTGCAAGTACTAAATGCACTAGATGTAGCCAAAACACAATTATACCATTTCACTGCAATAGTAATTGCTGGAATGGGATTTTTTACTGATGCCTATGACCTATTTTGCATTTCACTAGTCACAAAATTACTTGGCCGAATTTACTATCATCACGAAAATGCACCAAAACCAGGTATTCTTCCTCCTCCTATCGCCGCTGCAGTTAACGGTGTCGCGTTTGTTGGTACTCTTTCGGGGCAACTGTTTTTCGGCTGGCTAGGTGATAAATTAGGAAGAAAAAAAGTTTATGGAATGACACTTATGCTTATGGTTATTTGTTCAATAGCTTCTGGACTTTCATTTGGTAAAACACCTAATGGTGTTATAGCCACTTTATGTTTTTTTCGATTTTGGCTTGGTTTTGGTATTGGTGGCGATTACCCTTTATCCGCGACGATTATGTCTGAATATGCAAATAAAAAAACTCGTGGGGCTTTTATTGCTGCTGTTTTTGCAATGCAAGGTTTTGGTATTTTAACAGGCGGAATAGTTGCTCTTATTATTGCTGGTGCATTTAAAAATGCTTACCCTTCACCGATTTATTCAGTAAACCCTAAAGATTCAACACCACCTGAAGCTGATTATGTTTGGAGAATTATTGTTATGTTTGGTGCAATTCCAGCTTTACTTACTTATTATTGGCGAATGAAGATGCCTGAAACAGCACGTTACACGGCCTTAGTCGCGAAAAATGCTGAAAAAGCTGCTGCTGATATGTCCAAAGTATTGAACGTTGAAATTGAAGTAGAGAACAATAAAGTTGAAGAAAAAGGAAATAATTTTGGTTTGTTTACTAAGGAATTTCTTCGTCGTCATGGACTTCACTTGCTAGGAACAACAAGTACATGGTTTTTATTAGACATTGCTTTTTACAGTCAGAATCTTTTTCAGAAAGATATATTTAGTAAAATTGGATGGATTCCTCATGCAGAAACGATGAATGCATTAGATGAAGTTTTCAAGATTGCAAAGGCGCAGACTCTTATTGCACTTTGTAGTACTGTTCCAGGTTACTGGTTTACAGTAGCATTTATCGATAAAATGGGTCGATTTGCTATACAATTAATGGGATTCTTTTTCATGACAGTGTTCATGTTTGCTTTAGCCATTCCATATAATCACTGGACACAAAAAGAAAACAGAATAGGGTTTGTTATCATGTATTCACTTACCTTTTTCTTCGCGAATTTTGGTCCAAATGCAACAACATTTGTTGTACCCGCGGAGATTTTTCCAGCTAGGTTAAGATCAACGTGCCACGGAATATCAGCAGCAGCTGGAAAAGCTGGAGCAATTGTTGGGGCATTTGGATTTTTATATGCAGCTCAATCTACTGATCCATTAAAGGTTGATGCTGGTTATCCAACTGGTATAGGTGTGAAAAATGCACATATTGTTCTTGGTTGTGTTAATTTACTTGGAATGTTATTTACATTCTTGGTGCCAGAATCCAAAGGAAAATCATTGGAGGAAATGTCTAAGGAAAATGAAGGAGAAGAAGAAAATTATGAAAAAGAAACTAAGGCAGAGAATGCACAAACAATTCCAGTTTAAATCAAAGTGGTGGTATATACTAAGTATGATGTTGTAATTTTTTTTAACTTTGAGTAGAAACATCATGAGATATACCAAGATTGAAGCTTAGCTTTATTCTTGTTTGTATCTTATGAGGAAATAACCATCTATTCATTTTGCTTTGTGGTTCTTTTTTCTTGTGTATTTCTTGTAGATGTAATACAAGATGGTGGCTAGCTTCTGCCAGTCCTTTGACTTTCTTTTTGTCTTTGATTATTGGTTTTTATTTTATTTTGTTTATTGTGAATTTTAGCATTTTTTGTTTGAAAGTACAAGAGGGGGGGGGGGGGGGGGGGTAAGTTGTATATTTTGAAACTTATCGATTTATTAGTTGACTTGTTAAGCAGATAGTCGACTGGATCTAGCAATTCAGCAGTTATAATATCAGAAAGGAAATTGCAAAAACTAAATGCAGGAATTAAAGACACCGAAATTTTTATACTGGTTCGGATTCAATGTGAATCCTAGTCCAGTCCCCTTGGGTTGCAAGGGAGTTCTCTTCAGTAAATGTGTTTCTTCGAGTACAGTGGAAATGGCTTGATAATACGGATCCTCTAACACTCGTTTTTCTTTTTGATACAATGCCTCACCAGTGTTACACTCTCTTTTTTTCTCTAGCTTGTTACACAGCAGATCTTAGAGAAATACAATATTTGTTTGCAGTAGAATAAAGAGAGGGTTTTTGGTGTGATCAAAGTATGTCTGACTAGGGTCTAAGGCTAGGTTTAAATACTTTGATGATGATCGAGGCTTGACAACCCAAGAGATTTGATCCTTGGAAAGAGATTGATTCTTTCCAAGAATAAGGTAGCTAGCCGTTGCTTCTCCTTGATTTCCTTTCTTCCGCAGATGTATGTAATAAGAACTTGCTCCTTGATTGTTGGTTCTTTCCAAAAATTAGTAACGTACCAATCTCTTCAGAATCTTCGACCTTCCGTAATGCTGCCCTTGATTTGTGCCTTAACTTTAGGCTTGCTTGATTCTCTCCATCGCAGCTGGTTGATACTCTTTGCTGATTGTTTTTCTTGGATCTTCCCAGATTTGGGATTCCTTTCCTTAGGCGTCCAGATTTGCTGATTGTATTGCTTCGCCTTGATTTCTTTCTTTCCTTATTTATCAGGATTGACTCCAGCAGTCTTGTAGTATCCTCTTGACTCCTTGTAATTGATTTCCTGCATATGTATATTATTTTCATCATTAAAACTGCATCTAACAATCTCCCCCTTTTTGATGATGACAAAATAATATATAACTATAAACACCAGTCGACTTCCCTGTGATTTACTCCCCCTTAATGGACGCAGTTGACTGGTCCATGATGCTCCCCCTTAATGCATGCAGTTGACTGGTCTATGCCGGAGTCGACTTCTATACCAACTATGCTTTTGTACCTGTACAAATAAACCTGCTAACTGGTCCTCCCCCTCAATTGAGAGTCGACTTCTGTACCTGTACAAATAAACTTACTTCCCTTTTTCTCCCCCTTTTTGGCATCAGCAAAGAGGGAACAGGACAGAAGACAAACATAATAGATAGTATTGAAGCAGAAAAGTTGTAGTGATCATCCAACGGCTGGGAAAACAGCCCATAAAAATAGCACATCAAAAAATAAAATTATCCACAGGCTGAAAACACAGCCCAAAATCAGCAGAGCAAAAGAAATTGTCTTAAAACATCCATATTAACGGCGCAGAAAGTAAGTAAGGGTATTGCAGATGGCCTCCTTCAACTGGTCAAAGCTTGCATTGGCTGATATGCTCACTCCATCCAACCTGTCATGAATCTCCCTGAAGGCTTTGACAGCATTCTCCCTAACCTTGAGAACAGCAACTCTAATTTTGGACACATCATGCCCTGTTTCCTTGGAAATAGCATGAATATCAGCAACAGTAGACTGAGTGATTGTGAGAAGATCTTTGATTTCAGAGAGTTGAGAGTTGAGAGTTGAGAGTTGATAGCACGAAGCTTTTCACCAAGATCAGAATTGTCAAGACTAGGATGAGGAACAGAAGGTGAAGGTTTGGGCTCTACAGGGGTGTGCTTTGCTTCACTATCGTCCTTCTTAACCCAGGCGCCTTCGATATTCACATATCCCATACTAGCAAAGGCTCTAGAATTGTAGGACTTGGAGATAGTGGTGAAGGGATAGCTGTACAGGGAAAGTTGATGAGCTTCCAGAATGTGAGTGATTGCCATGCCATAGGGAAGACTAGTGGGATCTTCAGCACTTTCGATCATGAAATTGATAACCCAAGAGGAAATCTTGATTCTGAGTTAGGTGACAAGGCAATAGACGAAGAATGTGTCTCGTTGGGAGAAGGTTGAATAGGATCCAGTACGGGGAAGCAAAGTTGTTGCCACAATGTGGACCAGAACCCTGGTTTCGAAGCTAACATCATTGGACCTAACTGGTTTGGAAGGGGGTCCGAGGGACTCTCAACGATACATTGTTTGGCTTGGTCAAAAGAAATTTCAAAGTTATCAGGCCAGGTATTTTTAAACGGAGTAGGAAAGCCAGAACAATGACACTGAAAAAGAGAGTCAAACAGAGCACACTCAAGAACAATGCGCTCTCCTAACACTAGGGACTCTAACCTATCAGGTTTACTAGAACGAAGATTTGCATAGAATATTCTAACCAGCGGTTCATACACCTTAGGCGGAGGAATAGAGAAGAACTTACCCCAACCTTGATAAACGAAAAGATCTTTGATTTTGCAATTGAGGGCTTCCATGTCGTCAAGATCGACAACCCTTCCATAGGCAATGGGTTTGTCTTTCAAGGCAAGGAAAACATCCTTATTTGGGGAATCCCAGAAATTGAGGTCAGATTCAAGAGAGGGAGAGAGATCAACTTTTGTTTTCTTTGGGGTGGACGAAATAGGGGGGGTCTTCCATGGGTCGCTTACCCAAAGCTTTTTCTCTTAGGAGTGGAGAGTGTTCAGAGAAGTCACCCTGAGAAGAGGCGAAGCCCTCAGAGCGATCGGACCCTAGGTCTACCTGTTCCGGAGGCATAGATGGGGGTTTTGCTTTGGAACGGGTGCTTCTACTGGTAGAGGCAGATGGAATTCTAGGGTGCTTAGCCATTGAAGGGGAAGAGCTTGAACGGAGGTTTGGAGAAAGGATGAGGATGAGAGTGATTGAAAAGGGTTTTCTACTTTAAGAAGAGATTTTTGACGGTTGAGTACAGAAAAGGAAAAGTTGTCAGTTGAAGGGACGTGATGATTGGCTTTCCAACTTTGAACGACGAACTGATGTGAAAGAAGAGAAAAGAGAGGGAAAAGAGACAAAGGGTAATTAATGCATGAGTGAGGGACAATTACCCTGTAAAGTTATAATAGTACACATAGGTCCTAAAACTTATTAGTAAAGCACGTAATGCCAAGTAAATCTCGTAATTCACAAAATCTCTCTTCTAATAGAGGTTTAGTAAAAATGTCAGCTAGCTGATCAGTGGTTCCAACAAAAGATATCTCTATGTCACCCTTAAGAACATGATCTCTAATGAAGTGATGCTTGATATCTATATGCTTTGCTCTCGAGTGATGCACAGGATTTTTTGAAAGACAAATAGCACTAGAATTATCACAGAAAATTTGTATAAACTTAAAGAAAAGTTCATAATCACCCAATTGATGAGACATCCATAATAGTTGTGCGCAACATTGTCCTATAGCAATGTATTCAGCTTCAGTAGTGGATAGTGCAACTGAAGCTTGTTTTTTGTTGTTCCAAGATATTAGTGCATTTCCCAGTAATTGACATATACCGCTTGTGCTTTTCCTGTCATCCTTATCACCTGCAAGGTCAGCATCTGAAAAACCTTCTAATTTAAAAGAGTTAGAGCGAGGATACCATAGTCCATGGGACACAGTCCCAATAAGGTAACGAATGATTCTTTTTACTGCGGTCAGGTGTGATTCCTTGGGAGCTGACTGAAACCTGGCACATTTACATACGTTGAACATAATATCCGGTCGACTTGCTGTCAGGTACAGTAATGATCCAATCATTCCACGATATTTAGTTTCATCAACAGGAATTCCGTGCTCATCTTTATCCAGATTAGTGGAAGGACTCATTGGTGTGCCAATTGATTTTTCATTGCTCAAACCAAATTTTTGAATCAGTTCTTTTGTGTATTTGGTCTGACATATAAAAGTTCCTCCTTCAGTTTGTTGAATTTGTAGTCCAAGAAAGAACGTTAGCTCACCCATCATACTCATTTCAAATTCGCTTTGCATGAGATTTGAAAATTCCTTGCACATAAGAGGGTTAGCACTACCAAATATAATATCATCAACATAGATCTGAATGATGAGGTTACCTTCTGATGATCTTTTAATAAACAAGGTAGTGTCAATTTTACCTCTTGTGAAGCCATGATCAACAAGAAAGGAACTCAGTCTATCATACCAAGCACGTGGAGCTTGCTTTAGTCCATACAGCGCCTTAGTGAGCTTGTATACATGATATGGGAATTCTGAATCTACAAACCCAGGAGGTTGTTTTACATAAACTTCTTCCTCAATGAATCCATTCAAGAAGGAACTTTTAACATCCATTTGAAATAGTCTAAACCCTTTAAATGATGCGTATGCCAGAAGGATTCGTATGGATTCCAAGCGAGCTACTGGAGCGAAGGTTTCATCGTAGTCAACTCCTTCCTGTTGTGAGTACCCCTGAGCAACCAGTCTGGTTTTATTTCTTATGACTTTTCCATCCTCATTCAATTTATTTCTGAAGACCCACTTTGTTCCGATTACAGACACATTTTCAGGTTTGGGTAGCAGACTCCACACTTGATTCTTACGAAATTGATCTAGTTTTTCTTGCATAGCTTGAACCCAACTTGAGTCTTTTAGTGCTTCCTTTATCTTCTTTGGCTCAATCTGAGAGATTAATGCAATATTTGCTTTCTTTTTGAGAGCTCCCCTTGTTTTCATTCCTTCATGTGGATCCCCAATAATGAATTTTTG